CTGTGAAGATGGAAGATAAATTATTAGTGACGCATTTATTAGTATTGTCTGTTTGTTGCGTGTGTTGGGTACTTGTGTTTGTTTACTTGTTTGTTTGTTTGTGAGTGAGGGTAAGTGAGTGTATGTGTGTGCGTGTGCGTGTGCGTGTGCGTGTGCGTGTGCGTGTGCGTGTGCGTGTGCGTGTGTGCTAGCGTTTACCCATGCTCATGTGTAGCCTACTAGTACATATATATCTCTAAGTGTGTATGCAAATATCTGTTCACACATCGAAACATACACGGACACAATACACTCTAACCCCCAACCCACCATTGTATACCAGGTGAACCCAGAAGCAAAACCACATCATTACAATAGCCAGTTTCAGTCAACATTTCAGCTTCTGAATCCCGCCTGACAGCTCTCTCACGTTTCGGATTTTTGTCCTTCATCAAAATCTCATGCCATGTAACTGTTTCATCGTGCCACCTCATACGCGGGAAAATGGGACACTCATATTTTTTTTAGAGATATGAGACACCCATAATGCCTCATAATATTAAAAGTACATAGCTAACACATGAAGTTAATAGTACATCGTTAAGAAAGCGAATAAAAAAATGAAAGCATGAATCAATATAAACAATACACACACACACACACACACTTACACACACACACACAAAGACAACAACCTTTCCAGTCCTCTTTACATTAAACGTTCTGTACCTACGTATTTTTTTCTCCTCCTCCTCCTCCGCCGTTTTCTAATCGAGACGTTCCTCGATTGAAACGGGTACTACATCATTCTGAGTTCGATCTATGAACGCGCACAATGACTCTATTTTAGGCTACTTTTGTTGTGATTTCGGCTGTTCTCAGATAAATCACGCTGTCGGGTTATTACCGCTGAGTGCTCCTCGGTCGGGAATTCCGTGCCGGTCGGAAAGGAAAAAATGGGAAAGGAAATTCTATGGGGGAGAAAAGAGGAGGAAGAGGAGGAGGAGGAGGAGGAGGAGGAGGAGGAGGAGGAGGAGGAGGAGGAGGAGGAGGGGGAGGAGGAGGAGGAGGAGGAGGAAGATGAGGAGGAGGGGGAGGGGGAGGGGGAGGGGGAGGGGGAGGGGGAGGAGGAAGAGGAGGAGGAGGAGGAGGAAGAGAAGAGAGAAGAAGAAGAAGAAGAAGAAGAAGAAGAAGAAGAAGAAGAAGAAGAAGAAGAAGAAGGAATAGGAGATGGAGGATGAAATGGGTGGAGGAGGAAGTAATGCACTTATTTTCATCGACGCAGACGCATGTAAAAAAACAAAGATTGGCACGATAATAAATAAACAAACAAGACATACATGCACACAACACAACTAACGCACACATGTACACAGAACACACACACACACACAAGACACACACACGCCAATAACAGCAGACATAACCATATTCATGCACTTATTTATACGTTCATTTAGTGACTCTCAAGAATGCCAGTTTTCCTGCAAATGTCTTCATTAGAATAAGAACAATGAAAAGGGGAAGAAAACGAGGAAATGAAAAGGAAAAAAATAATGTTATCGAGAAGTATAATGTTCTTATTGTTCTTCTTATTGATTACTAGCTTTCCTTCCTTCTTATCAGATCTTTTTTTCTTACTCTGTTCTCTTCCTACTATATTTATCTCTAAGTATATTACTCTCTCTCTCTCTCTCTCTCTCTCTCTCTATCTATCTATCTATCTATCTATCTATATATATATATATATATTTATATATATACATATATACATACACACACACACACACATATATATATAAAACGACCCCAAACCTCTCAAGCGCTATTTCCTTCTTATTTACTCCTCCTTTTCTCTCCCTCCTCCTTTTTTATTTGACTCATTACCCCCTCCCCCAAACTTCCTCACTGTGCCCTACCCCCACTTCCCCCTTTTATCCAATATCCCTCTTTCCACCCCCACTTCCTCCTTGCCACTTCCACTTCCTCCTCCAGCCCTTACCCCCTAATCCCGCCCACCCCCCCTCTTTCGCCAACACCTACCTCACTCTCCACCTCCTAGCTCACACCCTCCTCCTCCTCCTCTCCCTTTCCCTTTATCTCCTTACCCTCCCTCCCTCCTTCGTTTCCCTCCTTCTCCTCTTCCTTCCCTCCTCCCTCCTCCTCTTCCTCCCTCCTCCCTTCCCCCTTCCCCTCCTCCCTCCTTCTTCCCTTCCTCGTTCCTTTCCCTCCTCCTCCTCCTCTTCCTCCCCTCCTCCCTCCTCCTCTTCTCCCTTCTTCTTCCCTTCCTCGTTCCTTTCCCCCCTCCCTCCTTCTTCCCTTCATCCTCCTCTTCCTCCCTCCTCCTCTTCCTCCCTCCTCCCTTCCCCCTTCCCCTCCTCCCTCCTTCTTCCCTTCCTCGTTCCTTTCCCTCCTCCTCCTCCTCCCTCCTTCCCCTTCCCACACCTCCCCTTGAGTAACGGGGAAGGTGTCAGCAAGCGCCCCACATCGCCGGGGAAATGGTCAGCGGCCGTGGGAAGAGAGACGCGACTCAAAGCGGCAGTCTGTAATACGGGGAGGTGGGAGGAGGGGGAGGGAGGGAGGGAGGGAGGGAGGGGTGGGTGGGTGGGTGGGTGGGTGGGTGGGTGGGTGGATAGGAGGAGGAGGAGGAGGGGGGAGGGGAGGGGGAGGAGGAGGAGGAGGAGGAGGGGGAAGAGGAGGAGGAAGAGGAGGAGGAAGAGGGGGAAGAGGAGGAGGAGGAGGAGGAGGAGGAGGAGGAGGAGAAGAAGGAGAAGAAGGAGAAGAAGGAGAAGAAGGAGAAGAAGGAGGAGAAGGAGGAGGAGGTGGAGGGCCAAAAGAAGTGGATGGGGAAAAGGTAGGGGGACGAGGAGGAGGGGTAAGAGAGAATAGGAAGAAAGAATATCAATAAGAGGAGAGGGCGTGCGAAAATTCAAAGAACAGGAAGGGAAGGGACAAGAATAACACCACAGAACAATAATAACCAAAGAGAGAGACGAGACAGAGGAAACAAAAGAAGGGAAATAACAGATCCAGCGATCACTCGATATGGCTCATACCGCTTCGGCCATCGGTCATTAAGTGATCGTTCGATTAACTGCGGTGAAAGTCCTGTTTTGGGTTAATTACAACAGCTCTTGCGTCCTTCGTCATTTCGATATCACCCAGCTGTTTCTAAATACCCCCCCATGCCTGCTCTCGCCCCCCTTCTTCCCTCTTTCCGTTTCCTACTCCCTTACCTCCTACTTCCCCTATTTACCTGTTCCTATCTTCCCTATTCTCTCTTTTTACCTTTTCCCCCTTATCTATTCCTCACGTTCGTCCTCCTTGCAAACTTCATTCCCTTGACCTCTGTTCGATTATGATGCAAGGAATCTGTACAAATGCTCAGTTGAAATACATGATGTTCACTCTTATCAATCATGCAGAAGTTGCAAGCATGACACGTAATATAACAATACCAATGATTCTGATGAAACGGTGTCATGGCAGAATTGTCAGAATAATTACTGCAAGTGTCGTGATCCATTAAAAAAAAAAATGATGAACGAAACACAATAACAATCATGTATTTTTTTCCTTCGAACAATAACATGAGTAGATTATTCATCAGGCTCCGTATTTCTGACAGAATATTCATCCATATTTACCTGTAGCAACCTACATAACCGGTAAATCCGAGACCTTCAGAATAGACAACATCATCGCCTTGAGGTCATGACCTTTGCCCTTCATTCACCCTCAAAGTTACCCATGTCCTTAAAACCTTTAACAGCCATTTTCATGCTCCTCTGCAAAGATCATCAACGTAAACGAAGGGATATTTAGAGCGAGCGAACCCACGTGTACTCGAGGTTTAAATGTAATCGAATGAGTTTAATGTAAACAGCGCGCAATGACTTCTGTGTTGGTTGGTTGGTTCGTGCGTTCGTTCGTTCGCTCGTGTTTTTTTTTTTTCGTTCGTTCGTATGTCCGTCCGTTTTTTGTTTTTGTTTTTTCTCGGTCATTCGATTTTCCTTCATTTGTTCGTTCGTTCTTTCATTCGTTCGTTCGCTCTTTCTTTCCTTCCTTCCTTCCTTCCTTTTTTTTCTTTCGTTCTTTCGATATTTCCATCGTTCGCTCGTTCTTTCTTTCCTTCCTTCCTTCCTTCCTTCGTTCTTTCGTTCGTTCTTTTTTTTCTTTCGTTCATTCGATATTTCCATCGTTCGTTTGTTCTTTCTTTCATTCATTCGTTCTTTCCTTCCTTTTTTTTTCCCTTCCGTTCATTCGTTCTTTCTTTCATCCAATCGTTCTTTCCTTCCTTCCTCCCTTCGTTTTTTTTTTCTTCCGTTCATTCGTTCTTTCGTTCGTTCGTTCGTCCTTTCTTTCTTTCGGGCGAAAACAACAGACGAGTTCCAAGCGGTGGTTCCTTTGACGTGGTCTGTCGCGGGCCTTGTCTCCCGGGTTCTCCTTGCAAACAAAGAAGAAAGGGAAGGAAAGAAGAGAAAAAATAAAATAAAACGCAGAGTCTTTTGGCAGAGACTGAAGAAAAAAAAAGGGGGGTGGGGAGAAAAGTCATTTCACTTGAACGGAGGAAAAGGAAGAAAGACAAGTTGGAAAATTAAATATAGAAAACACAAACGAAGAATTATAATAGTAACAGCAATAAGAGAATAATAATAATAATGATAATGATAATAATAATAATAATAATAATAATAATAATAATAATAATAACAATAATAATAATAATAATAATAACAATAACAAAAATAAGAGAATGATGATAATAACAATAACAAGACAATAATAATAATGACAATAACAAGAATAAGAAAATGATAACAAAAATAATAACAATAACAAGAATAACAGAATAATAATAACAATAACAAAACAACAATAATAATAACAATAACAAGAATAACAGAATAATAATAACAATAACAAGAGAATTTGAGTCAAAACCAGTTAAACGTCTGATACGGTATTTCCTTTAAACCTTTTCAACATTCCTGGGCGCGTAATCATATCCTTTGGCACAT